TTGTACTAAGAATAATTTTATCTGCATTATTTTTATATGTCGAATAACGACTGACCACTTGCATCTTGAATGATTTGTCGCGGAGAACCTAACGGGTAACCGGGGCTCCGGCTCGACGTGCAGGAGAAGGAACGGGGTGGTTTTTAGTCAGTAAGAGTCTGACACTCCCTCCCGCCTCACCCAGGCGGGGGCAGTCATTCGATGATTTTCCCCCCTTAAAAAAAAAAAAAAAAAAAAACGTACTTGTAACGCCTCTGGTGTTCCAGGTGTCCACGGGCGACGCCGATTGCTTACCATCAGGTGATCCGTCTACTCGTTTACCGGCTTATGCCATTAAAAGAAACGCGCACGAAGTCGCCGGTTCCTTAACTCGGGCAACAGATAGTATCTTGTAGAGGAATTTATTTTTAAAAAAGTGCGGACGTAAAATATACCAAAATATTGAAAAACAAAATTCTTTTTACAATCAACACCTTATTTTTGAAGGTCAAAAAGTATACTTGTGACGGCCATGGCGTTTGAGTGGTGTATTTTTAGATTGAAACTTGTGTGGGCCATGGGAAACAAGGATACCCTCTTATTGGAGCCGTTGCTCTAATTACACTGACCATCAGTAGGTCTGTATATATTTAACATCAAAGTGTTCTGTATAAGTATGGTTTTGGTATTTGACGATTTTTGAGTATGTAACACAAAAACGTGTTTTGTCGTGTGAGTCAGATTACCGGAGGCCCCAATCCCTAAATCCCTAACAATCCCCAAATTCCTAATCCTTAGTTACGCATCTGGTGTTCTGAGTGTTTATACGATTGCTTACCATCAGGTGATCCGTCTGATCATTTACCGGCTTATTCCATATTTAGTAAAAGCACGGGCACCTAGATGTAGTTCACATGCGCGGCGACGGCTGTCTGGGTGCTCTTACGAAAATTTTTCGATAATAAGAAACGTAACAATAATTGCTAACCCTAAATTCGAGCTGGAGACCTGTGAGAGCAAGAGGTTCAATGTCCTCCTATTAATTTCCAGTCTTTATAAATTCATACATATTAAAACTCTCCCCGTATATAGAGGTACAACAAAAGACAAAACCTTAATTTTCTAATCTAAAAATATCATAAAATCGTTGCATTACGCTACAACTATTTAACATGTTAATTGGCCATCCCTTTTTAAACCTTAGCGCTTGCATTTTTCATTATAAAAGCGAAAAATTTGCATAATCATGTTTTTATTAAAATGCGTCACTTTGAGATGTTTTCTCGTTGAAGTTCTGTAAAATCAACATTTTATAAGAAAAATGGAAAATGTTGGTACGACATGAAATAAACAAATTGCATTCAAGTCTTATTAAAACGTGTAGAAAGAATTCTAGATTTGCTTATTTAAGTACTAAGTACTGTACTTAGCATTTTAATGAATGCCAAGTTTCTTAATATTTTCAAAGGTAATTTCATCAAAAGGTTTTCTGTAAATACGTTTATTTTATTTCTGCTTTTTCTTGTTTAATTTATTTATTCGTAAGAAAACAGAATACTTTATAGCTCTTAACCGATATGGGGTGAAACAGGGCTTATTCGGTACTTCAATATATTTTATATATATATATTATAATAAGGCCGTAAGTGAGGCAGTACCTGCAGGCAGCCGAGCACGACTCGAGCACGGCTCATGGGTAACTCGCCGCCCGACCAGAATCGGACCGAGCGTAAGCGCGTCGTCACGAAGCCATCAGACCACCACAGATAGGGCCCAGTAGGGCTGATGCCGATACGGAGCCGTGGAAGACTTAGCGGATTGTTGGGGCATCGGCTCGAATGGCAGGAGCAGGAACGGGGTGGTTTTTGGTCAGTCAGAGTCTGACACTTCCTCTCGCACCAACCGGGCGGGAGAAATCATTAGATGCTTTTCTCCCTTAAATAAGTTGAAATGACATAATTGACGTATCTTGTAACAATGTGAGGATAACCTCTAGAGCATATTCACTTCACGTGTTAAATAAAATTGAACCTTTTATGTTTCGCGATTGAGTATACTTTGGCTTGACTCTACAAATACCAATACTAACTTCGCATAATATTAATTATTATTTACACGAAGATACACCTAGGTAATTCAAAATCTTTGAACTAACAAAATGATTGACGTTTTGTTCTGTGTGCTTTTGATAGGTAAGGTAACATGGAGATATAACCTACTTACAACGGATAACACACAGAGTGTATACACACTACAGTACTGAGCTGATCTCATTAATTAGGATTGAAAACACAAATGTAACCACATACAGACACACAGGTAATTGTGACCATGATGTACAACTTAATTGAAACTCCAAATTGACGCGTGAAACCTACAAAACACTTATAGCTGTTCTCATCAACCACTAAACCATCTCTAAACTAAAAATTACTTAAATTGACGATGCGTCTGACTGAACGAACCTATTACTTGCACTTAAAGATGACTCTTATAGATTGTGAAAACCAAAATATTTCTTTTTTTATGGGATAATCTGGTACAAGAGCAGATGGATCACCTGATGGTTAGCAATTCGCGCCAGTACACACCAGAGGTGTTACAAGTACGTTACCAGTCTTAAGAATTTCAAGATGGTGGGGGATTCGGGGACTGAGGAGACTGTGGAGGGGGGGGGGGTGTAATTGGGCCTCCGGTAACCTCACTCACACGACGAAAAACCACGCAACCGTTGTTACACGTTGGATTTCTGTGAGGCCGTGGTATCACTCCGGTCGAGCCGCTCCATTTGTGCCGAAGCATGACTCTCCCACATTTAGAATACAGAGTGATATGGAAGAGAAGGAAGTAGAATGTGATGATGTTTAATGAAAGAAGAACATACAATATAATGTAAAAGCTAAGTATAGTAGGCAAGGAACCCATTCGTGCCGAAGCATGGCGCTCCCACAATATTGTTACATGTCACCTACCTTAGCTTTTTTTTTTTTTAAGGGGGGAAAATCATCGAATGACTGCTCCCGCCTGGTTGAGGCGGGAGGGAGTGTCAGACTCTTACTGACTAAAAACCACACCGTTCCGTCTCCTGCAACGTCGAGCCGGAGCCCGGTTACCCGTTAGGTTCTCCGCGACTCCGAATCGGCATCGGCCGTATTGGCCCCATCTGTGGTGGTCTGATGGCTCTTTGAGGCGCGCGCGGAACGCGACGCGCCGTAACCTACCTTAGCTTAGGGAATGTTTAAAAAATTTAGGACAAGTCGGTGAGAACACGGGCAATAGTCTTCATTACTAACTCCTACGTTATACAATAAAAACGTTTTTTTTATGTCACGACGCGGACGGTTGCAAAAAAAGCACACGGCCCACCTGATGGTAAGCGATTACCGTGGCCAATGTACGCTTGCAACAGTTAGGGCATTACATGCGCCTTGCCGACCCTTAAAAAACCTATTCACTCTCTTCTTGAAGACAAACCTAAAAGACATTTGGAAATAACAAACGTTATTTTCTTAGCACAACGTCAGCTGAACGTTGTAAAATCTAAAGTCAGCTAAGATATCCCCTAAGAAGATTTAGAAGAGCAATAATCGTTTGTCAGACCCTGAACACATTTCACCCGCGGATTTATGATTTTATTTATTGTAAAGCTGTGATCTTAATACGGAGTGCCTATTTAACGTAATCTTAGTAATTTTAATGGTAGGTTAGTAGGACAGGGTGATAATTATGTAAGGACAATTTACTTTTGAATAGAAATAATTCTTAATAATATTAATTTAAAGTGTAATTCATGTTGATCCGTGGTCAATTTATAGTGTGATTGTCAATTTATATTGTATCGTTTTTTACTACTTTGATTAATCTGCGGGTACAACCTGTGTACCTAACAATGTGTAGGTTAAAACAATAAAATGTTGAGTTATAGTGAGTGTAGAAAGTAGAAAGTCACTACTATAAGAAAATATCTGGATCACTTGTAATAAAGTTAAATGGGTTTATGACATTATATTCAAAATTGTTTCAATTTAAACCGATGTTTGAATGACTTAAACTGCTAAACATGTTATTTATGAAACGGCTATCCAGTATGTTCACATACAGCAGTCTATGTCACAAACTGCATGATTACCCACACTGCATGTTTTATGTCATAAATGCGGTCGAAAACACGGCGTATTTAGATTATTTATGGAGCTTAAATTATACTGACCACTGACTTTATGAACTTTCATAATGCTGCTCATAAAATATGCGATAAAATATTTGGTGACTAGGGTGTAGTTTTAGTTAGTAGTAGACGGCAAAATAATGCCGAACAAAATATTTATTTTTCTTAAAATGAAACAAAAAACCATGAGGGTTCTCATAAGTTTTTGTTGCACAGCTCCAATTGTACAAAGCTGAAATTCTGGTGACAATCATTTTGCAAGTGTAGTTTGTCATATTACATTGAGAAGTTCCTAGAATTTCCATTACTCTAACGCATTTGCACAAAGTAAAATTTGCTCGAGTATAATTCGATGTAAAAATAATAAATGTCCTCTTGCATTTTACCCAAGGTAAGTCATTTAAAAAATGACTTTTGAATTTGACTGTATCATAAAATAAAATACAAACATTCAAAAATATAACTTACTAATAATAATAATGTATTTTCCAAGTGTTTTGTCGATTGTACACATTCATCAATCCAGCGCTGATGATTTAATAGTAATTGTGAATCGAATCTGTAATTTGTGTTCCATTCCATCCATAGCAGATATTGAGTTATTTATTGCGTTCGTCATAAAACGTTATTTTTTAGGGTGGGAACAAATATATTACTACTAGTATTGTTTATCTAATTATACCTTAATGTAATGTTTTTTACATCATCATCACATATATCACACTTCAGCTTACTAGCCCAATAACATTTTGGCTTTTTATTTTCAAAGCAATTTTTTTTGCAAGGAGTAAAAATATAGAAACGACATAAAAGTAGAAGCAATTTATTTACCTACTACACTGATAAGCTGATACTTTGGGACCGTGCGTGGGACGAAGTACCCTTGCTATCTAAATGTAGCGTCGCCGTTGTCTGGAGGGCCCATTCTGTGACCGTTGCCGCAGGGAGGCTCCTGGTCTCTTCCTCCCTCGTTTAGGAGTACTTGGTGATCTTGGACACTCCAGGGCTTCCTCCACAGCTGGGCAATGAGGCTGCATATCAGTAACAACAAGGGTATAACGTTCAATAATATTTTAGAATTTTGAGATCGCTGAATAACTTTTGTCACGATATACGTTTCAACCATAATGTCAGTCAGTTTTATAAACAAGCACAAATAAAGAGAATCCATTCAATTAATGCTGCGTTTACTGGAAACAATCAAGCAGATGCTTAAGTACTATCAGTTAGCTCAGTATTCAGTCGGTACTAGATTTCCAATCTGAAGTCGAGGACGACTAACTGTATTTACGGGTATTTTACTAAAAATCCAGTATAATTTAGCCTGCAAATGCTCAAAAATGTTTACCGTCATAATGGGTACAATAGAATAGATGAAGCCAAAAGACACTTAAACGTTTTAGCTTAGAAATGAGTTAGAAAATAAGGAATAAAACATACAAGCGGGCAGTCCATTTTGGCGAGTCCATTTATTTTCTGCTTAGTCGGGTTTCTCTATACATAGAATATTCGTAAAGCAATAATACACAAACCTATGACGACTGGTCCGAACAATAGTAACACACAGCCTAATAGGAATCGTATTATTGCATTATGTGCCTCCTCCTTTTGGTATAGTTCCAACCCTCGAATCATGCAAACCAAGCCTGCAAAGTCACAAAAAAAAAAATATAAATCGAGAAAAATTACTGCCTTGGCAATTGCATTGGATCCTATTTCCAACTCAAGACATCGAAATCAAAATATCACTAAAATCCGATCTTAATGATCCCGTTGATCCAAGTAATGCAAGTGATCTGTTTAATATAAATAATTATACCTTTTTATAGTAATTATGTTTCGTTAGGACCGAGGTAGTAGGACATGCGATAAGTGTATTATTTTTCAAACAGAGTATAAATAAACTCACCAGATGTAAGCATACAAAATCCGAGCAAGAAAGCTGTCGCTAACAATATGCTAGAAAGGAAAATATAAATAGAAATAAAAAATAATGTATCTTTAATTTAAAATGTTTATGTTTTGGGGAACTATGAACGCAATTCAATATCTAAAACGTTCATTGTCTGGAGAAAATTGGCTACACTGCTGTTAATGACCTGAATGATACAATTCCCTAAAAGATGTAGCAGACTAACTTTAAGAAGGCTTATTAGTCTATCTGTATCTACTTAAATCCGACGAAACTTTATTCAATACGAATTATATGTGAACCTAAAAACCTAAAAGTTTACTTGCTAGGTAAAATAAAAAATCTCATTTGAAATTCTTCGATCGTACATTCAAGATAGTCACTTGAAAAGTTTATACATTCAGCGTAACAGTAATAACATATCGAATTATTCTCAAAGTACCTACATCGTGTTTATATCTCTGTTCAAAACCTAAATTGCCTTAGCATAATACAGTTTTTATTTTAAACTTTAAGTTCAAAATATGTTTGGGATTTCAACAAAAATACTCTGGTTGTTTATCACAAAGACTTTGGCGACTTCCATTAATAAAACAATAATAATACCTACCTAAATCTCATTATTCCGTCAGTTTGCTAGACAAATAAAATGAGCACTATAAAAAAAAATATCGTGAGAATAATACAAATGTACAAAATAAAGTGACATAATCCGAAAGTCAAGTAGAACTTGACTGAACTGTCACAGATAAAATATAAATCCAATAAGGTAGGCAGCAAAAAGTTTTTATATGAAGGAATTTTATATGATTTTCCTGGATGAATATTTTATTATTTGTAACCCACCTGTAATAAAAAGACAAGTTGAGAGTTCAGTGCCTAAATGATTCAAAAGTTGCAGATAACTTTTTTTGTTCAAAGACAGCCTCAACTTGGCTCGAGGCGATTGTCTAGCAAGTGACCTCAAGTTCGATAATTAGGTAACGTCGGGTCGCGTAACAAATAGCATAGAATCTGAAATTGTGCCGGTGTATAACAAGAGGAAGAAGGCTAGATCACTAGATTTCCACCACGATTATCAAATTGTTAACACCCACGATTTGATAATCGTGGGTGACAAATTAGGTAGTTGACAGATGACAGGTCATGGAAATCAAAAGCCTCATTAGTCCGTCATCGTCACTTAGAAGTAATGAAAAAATATTAGACGCGTATTTTTTATTTTGTCACTCAAGAACACAATATTTAGGTAAAATGAATTTAAGTTTAGGAGTGAGAGATCGCTACGTCATCTTGGCGAATGCTAACGTAACGTTATTTATAGAGCTACATGATATAGTATATAAC